CTTGTGCACTTCTCCCTTTTCTACTCTGCTTTGGGGCAAAATTAAACCAGTAGCGTTGCAGAATGGAGAAGTGATGTGTAGTAGTTCCCATGGGCGAGATTTTCAGATACGGTTTCATGAATGGTTGAAGAAGAACTGATTCATTTCAGAGATTACTGGTCACAAAATATGGAAGCTGGAGGGAACTGGTATGAAGGGAAGTATGGCTACAAAAATGGATGGTCCGTTCCATTGGTGCAGTCATTAGGCATTGAAGGTGGACAACACAATGTTGTATCTGTTCCACTTGATCGACGGAATATGGGTAAAATCATGGTCGACAATGGATACGGTGTAAGTTTCACGCCTAATTTCCCCTCCCGACCGAATTTCAGACTGTTAGTTAGGAAAATGCGGAAATAGAAACGAAAGCATAAAATTTATTAACCGTTTTTTTTCATATGAATATTTCTATATACTTACTTTATTTTGCTCTTTGTAAACGTTTGAGTGCCCACTTTAAGATGCGATCCGAATATGGGGCACTGACTCGTCAGGCATGGGATCAGACCTCGCGGAAGTATAAAACCACTACTTTACGCCATCGTCTCGACTCATTATTTAGACCTAGAATATCCTATAATCTTCTGCCAGTAGCTTCTGAACGCCAGCTGCATGGCGCATTTCAAAATGGTATTTGCAAGGGATAACACTTCATATTTAACTCAATAATCACCAGTACTAGAATGCATGTACGCATATCTATCATGCACAATGGCAGCCAAATATCCGACAATCTCAGAAGGAGCTGTAATCACCCGATTGCACTCCTCATTCTTTCAAAAAAGGTTATTGGTTTATGAACTGTTCATATCGATCTGATGTTCAGGTTGGCGGCTACTATGGCCAAAATGATCACGTTGGAATCGACTGGAAGAGGGGCGATGTGCAGCATACGTTTGGTGTGATGTCACCATTCGTTGGAGCTGGTTTCAATACTGGGCAAGCGGTCACGTTCCCAAGTCTCGAAACGTTTATGAGAGCTGGTAGAAAATAATCCATCTCTACCTGTTGGGCAGCATGCATAGTCTGCGATTTCGATGAATCGTTGAATAATTGAAAAGGACTGGATACGTATTTGTCCGACAACGTTCCTGCCCGCATTCGGCATGATCGGCATTTTATAGTTGACGATACGCCAATGCAATTGGCAGTGTCTTGCCGAACCGCAGCGTCGCGACGCACAAGCTATGCGTGCGGTAATCGATACCATCTGTGTATTGCTTCTTCTAAAGATGAATGTGCTTCAATGTCATCCTATGGCTTCGATCTTAGATTTTCAATCTTCATTCCTCTTAAACTTTTGCACCATCTATTTTGGAGATGGTACAAAAGTTCAGGAGGAATGGAGATGCGAAATCACTCTCAAAAAATCGGCAAGAAAATGATAAGCAACGAATCAAGCCCAAATAAATGTGCACAGTGGCATCAACGAACGCTTTCCAGTAATCAAACACACCGTACAATCGATGTGATAGCGGTAATAAATCGAGGGTCGGTAGAGCACAAATCCAGGCGAGCGTACAAAAATTGTTAAATTCTGACATGGCATAACACTATCGATCGCCGCACGCGTACTCATGCGTCACGCCAAACATGGCGGATAGACCCGCCGCCGGTCACAATATAAATGTAGTATTACTCGAAGGCCGGAAAAAATCGAGGAAGAATTAGTCAACCGGTATCTGGTCCTTTTCATTATTCATTTGATTTTGCAAGTGCACTCATTTTTGATCGTTCCTGCTTATGTTCCATTCTACGGGATTGCAAATTGATCGTGTTGCCGAATTGTTAATACTGTAAATATGTGAATACTCCTATTTTCTGTATAGATTTTGAAATAATAAAGTTATGAGATATTTTGCATACCCTATGCAGAGCTTCCCTACAGGGATAATGCTCTCACCCCATAAATCATAGTGCTCTCCGTTTCATGCCGTTCAGTGACTTATTGAGGGTGCTTACCATAATTTTCATACCCAATAGTCGCTTATAGCGATTAACCAACCATGATCGTCTCCGAGAATTATCGCACCTACGACGCCCTGCGCGCCTCACAAGCACTGCCGTACCACCAACTACATCACCGTGACATACACCGCGTCGGGACCGTGGGAAGTTAGCCTTGGTCTTTTGTTGCCGTCTGTTCCAATTCAAACTGTACACGTATATCGATATCATAGAAATAGCTGTTATCTAACTGCCTTGCTCTTCTACTAATTTGCAAAATTGCAAAAATAAGTTTTGCTTCAGAATTAACTTTGGAAAATTTATTAAACAAGATTTTTGAATAGTTTTCTTGTTCTGCGGAGATCCAGCAACAACCAACCGTACTACTATAAAGCGCTTCGTCTGTCGTTCTATCTTTCTGTCGTCTGTCTGTATGTCTGTCACGAAATTCCTTAGTTCCTTTAGATCTGCCTAGAGAGATGGATCAAGCGTGGGATGGATGGGCCATGTCCCGAGGAGTATAAAGAACACATCAGCTTGGCGGAGCC